CTATTGTGTTTTATAGTGAAGAAAAATTTAATTTAGCATTTCTAAAACTTCTTTGACAATTACATACTTCTTAGACCAAATAACTCATCAATAAGAAAAAAATAAATAGTATTTGTGAACTATATTTTTGAAAACTAATCTATCCTTCCAGATTTGTATTTACTAGAATCACACATTTATAGCACCTAATAATTTCCAGGTACTTTTACTTACATATTGCTTATATGATTCACACCTAAAATAGTACTTATACAGTGGAACCAATAAATATTTATTGAATGAACATATATAATTCTCACAACCACGTGAAGAGGCCATATTAACTTTCATTATTATCTCTATTTATATATAAGAATAATGAGGTTCAGAAACATTAACCAACTTCACAGAACCAAAAACTATGGAACTAAAAGGCTATAACCACATGTGTGTCTTTTGGAGTTAAAATCCCTTTAGGCTAATGTAACAATAAATCTTGTGAACACATTCTTCAAGGCTATCTTGACCTATTTTAAGTATGAAACCCTGTAACAATAAACATTAAAGTAAAATACTAGTAGGAGTTCAATTGGTTCCTGACTATCAAGGTAATACTATAAATGCTTTCCAAGACTAAGATACTTGAATAACTATTAGGTAGGTTTAAATTTAAAACACCAAAAATGTACAAAATTTTAAAAGTCTAGTAGATTCAAAGTAATTTGCCATAGCTGTTTGGCTAAAATTAAGATCAAGAGACCATAATAGAAGACAACAATGAGAAAAAAAGAACTACATTTTAACTAAAGTTAAAATATATACACATATATATATATATATATATATATATATATATATATATTTTTTTTTTTTTAACCTTTATTTTATTTATTTATTTTTATGTGGAACTGAGGATTGAACCCAGTGCCTCTCACATGCTAGGTGAGTGCTCTACCACTGAGCCACAACCCCAGCCCCAAAAGAACTAAATTTCAATTCATCAACAGATAGTTGTAATTCTGAAAATTATGTATCACAAATATCATATGTAAAGAATAGATACACATACCACAACAAGATATATAAATCATATCTCTGTACTTTACTATATCAAAATGGACACGACTTTGCCATGGAACTCAGTTGTGAACACAAAACTGCTTTAGTAAGTTATATACCACCAACAATAAGTTAATAAGTAAGTAATAAAAAAGATTAGAACTCTTAGAATTCATATTTTAAAAGGATGAATTATTTGTATAAAATAAAATAACACTATTTTATCTTTTTGGGATTATAAAAGTTATATTTATTCACCATGGTACATTTACTGCATTCCCCTAGGAAAAGGGAGAACTATTTTTGAATCCAATTTGTACATATAAAAGTTTGTACAAATTATGTGTAGCACATAAAGGCCTCTGTTACACCTAAAATCCAGACACTACTATTTGGGTATTCCTGCTTCAGGGTCTCCAGTTTATCAAGTCTGTTCCATAGAAAATAAAAACTAGAATTATACTCAGTCTTGCTGTTAACACTTAGAAATTATTTTAAAATATAATAAAATAAAAATTTCCTTAGCTTTTAAACTCAAAAAATTCTATTAACTGGGAGTGGATACATTTTGTTAACAATTTTAACAGTATGACAAATTCATACCTTATTGTAGTTTGGCTTTTATAAATTTTTTTTAAAAATCACCTTAGTTGTGACATTATCTTTCTAACTTATGGCTATTTCAAAAGGTCATTGTCAAAATATTTACCGAATACTTTAAAAAAATAATAATATTACTTGACAAAATAATATAACACCTTAAGGAATCAGAAAATATTAAAAGTCTTTGGCTATGCAACTAAAAGGCCATTCTTCCAACAGAATAGAGCATAGTCACTTCAGAAACATTGTAAAAAAACAAAGCATAACAGAAATATGCATAGAAATCAAACACTATTTTATATAAGTAAATAAATAAATAAAATAAAATTCTGACCACCTACATTTAGACTACTATATTGGACAACAAAAGCCATATTTACATTTTGTTTGGATTCTAATTCTGAGAAAAGATAGTAAGTCAAATATTCTTTATCTTACTGGTTTAAAAATAATTTTAGCTAATGATCCTTTTCTAACACACTACAAACATTGTAGAGACTGATTTATATGATTTATAAAGTTTGCTCTTAAAGACCTGTTCGTAGTATAAAAAACAAAAACAAGATTAGATTAAAAAAAAGTTATTACTTGGCAATATTAGAGTAATAATTGAGGTAGGAAACATCAATAGATACCAAAATTAGAGGGAAAAGTCTGATGAGTAGCAGTATGCACATAATCTCAAAGAAACTAATTCATATGAACATACTTATTGATAATATAAATTAAAAATACTTAATTTCAAAGGGAAAAAGAATAAGTTTATAGTAGAGACACAGCACACATATTCCTAATCAAGGAATCAAAAGATACTGCCAATATGAGAGAAAGAAAAAATAAGTTTGGGGGCTAGAGGTGGAACTCAGTGGTAAAGTGCTTAGCTAGAATGAGGTAGGCCCTGTGTTCCATTCCCAAGAGCACACACACAAAAGGTTTTACTTGAGAAGATGTAAAAATAATAAGGACAGTGGAAGGAGACGGTCATCATTATACAAAATTCATGTATGAAGATGTAAATTTGGTGTCAACATAACATATGTACAAACAGAGATTTGATAAACTGTGGTATAAAGGTGTATTAAGAATTGTAATGCAAAAAAATTATGAATGTAATGTACTCCACTATTGTCATGTAAGAAATAATAAAAAAATCATAAAAAATTAAAAATAATAATACATTATAATCTCTCTAGGATATGCTGCTAAAAAAGTGCAACCTGAATCTAATCATGAGAAAACATCAGGCAATACTGAAGCACATTTATGTACAAAATAAGTGCTTAATAATTTTTATAATATACCTGATATGAAAGTTAAAAAACAATAAAAAGGGCTCAATAACTGTTCCAGATTTTAAAGACTGAAGAAACATTGCAACCAAATCTAATTAACACGCAGTATTTTCTGATAAAAGACAAAACTTGTTGAGAGGAGAAAGTTTTATTAGGAAAAAAAAAAAATATATATATATATATACACACACACACACACACATATATATGTGTGTGTGTGTGTGTGTGTGTGTGTGTGTGTGTGGGCATGCACGCGCACATACACACACACACACACCATAGAATAATTAGGGGTGACTGGGCACTATAGCAACTATGGTTTCAAAAAGAAAATGCACTTAGCGCTTTCTTTTTATTGCAATATTGCAATGCTGGGGATTGAACCTTGGGTTTGCAAATGCTAGGTTAAGTGCTCTACTGCTGAACTACACCTCCAGTCCTAGTACTATTCTTTGAAAGAAAAAACAGATAAACTTCAAGATGCAATAGCATCATTATATATTTCTACTATCTTTGATACTAGTTGTATTTTCTTCTGAATTTGAAAGGAAAGGTGTTTGAGCTAATTGCCCTTATCTCTACTTTTTGGGTTTTCTAAATTTTCTAGATTTCCCAGTGGGGTTAGAGGATTCTAAGACTTATGGGAATTTTCAAGAGTATCAACAAGATTAGGAACCTAGGCATTAATGAAAGAAAGAAGAAAAATACACTAAGAAAAACTAGAATCTACTATCATAATGGATATATTCTAGATTCACTTGTAAATAGCCCTGCTGCAAATTTATTAAAGTAAGTGTTTTTCCAGCAGAGGACTCTTATTACAGAGCAATGGTAAAGTACATCTTGATGTCAAGAATTGCTATTCTCACAGGAACAGAAGCCTAAAAACCCATACTGCCACAGACAGATAAAACTTGTTTTTTAATTTTATTGTTTCTTTAATATCAATATAGCAATAACTCAGAATATTTAGAAAGTGATTATTTATATTTAAAGCAAGAAATGAAATATTAGCAATAGCTATAAAGATTCTCTTTTATTATTATCAGTTTATAATAGTTTCTTTAAATGTGATTTCTCTAAATTTCTCAGGAAGAATTCTCTTGGATTAGGGATGGAGAATTCAGATTGATCCAAAAAATATAGATTCAAAATTAAAAGAGGCCTTCTTAATTCAGCTTTAATAAATAACCTAATACAATTTTCATAGCAGTTTTTAAAATACTATATATACAGAAAAAAAAAGTTAATATAGCAGGCCAGAGACTGCTATCCCTAGAAAAATCTACTTGCAAATTTACCTTTTGGTTGATGTCTGGGACTTTGCCTTTTGAGGCAGCTCCCATTATTATCTGACTGATAAGGTTGGATCACTGTGCCTCACTGTTGAACAAAGAAAGTAGTTTATGCTGAACCTCTACTTTCCTTCTGGGAATCTGGAATTTTGGTACATGCTAAAGCCTATATGACGAACAATAAAAACACACAGGCTCAGGTGAGCTTATTTGATAGATAAATATTTCTCACATGTGGTAACAACAACTCACTGCTAGAATGATGAAGTATGTCCAACATAACTCCATGGGGAGAGGGCTCTTGGAAGATTGAACTTACTTTTCTCCATATTTTATACAAGTGCCTTTTCCCTTTGCCAATTTTGCTCTATGTTCTTTTGCAGTAATAAATCACAATTGCAATATGACTATATGCTGAGTCCTGAGAGTCTTCCCAGTCAATCGTTAAATCTGGGATAAATTGAGAACACTCAAATCCCAAATTTAATGTATAAAATTCATCCTATAGAGGTACGCCTGTTTCAAGCACATTGTTTCATATAACACTGACAACTTGCAAGTGATAGCTTTAAGATGACAAAAGCTTAGAGTCCTACCTCACTCAAAAGACCATTTGCTTTTTGGATTACTAAAGAAATGATATTCAAAAGATGAAATATCATATTAAATAAATACAATATTCATTAAAAACTGAACAAACACAAAAGCAAACTCAAAAAACAAAGAGTTTATGTTATAATTCAAGAAGTATTTAAAATCAAGGTATTCTTACCATGTGGTGTGATTGTCTGTACAGGCTTAGCAGGGGACCTCACATTCCAGATGGTCAAGGTGCCATCTGAATGACTACAAATAAATTGTTTTCCTTCATGATGCCAAGCAACAGAGTGAATAGCCTAAAGAAGAAGGAAAAAGAATTTCATTTTTCAAAATTATTTAAATATCAAACCTATCATAAATAGTTTTATAATGATTTTTTATTTTAAATTCTTTTTATATTTTCCAAGCTGAAATCAATGTTAACTTTACTTTCCCAAAATTTAGCATTCTTGAAACACAGAGATTTTATTTCATATTGACAATGTTTTAATTCCTTTCAATTATTTTACCTTTTTTTTATTTATATATGACAGCAGAATGCATTACAATTCTCATTACACATATATAGTACAATTTTTCATATCTCTGGTTGTATACATAGCATATTTACACCAATTCGTGTCTTCATATCTGTACTTTGGATAATAATGATCAACACATTCCACCATCATTAATAACCCCATGCCCCCTCCCTTCCCCTCCAACCCCTCTGCCCTATCTAGAGTTCTTCTATTCTTCCCATCTCCCGCCGCTCCATATCCCACTATGAATTAGCCTCCTTATATCAAAGAGAACATTTGGCATTTGATTTTTTGGGAATGGCTAACTTCACTTAGCATTATCTTCTCTAACTCCATCTATTTACCTGCAAATGCCATGATTTTATTCTCTTTTATTGCTGAGTAATATTCCATTGTGTATATATGACACATTTTTTTTATCCATTCATCTATTGAAGGGCATCTAGGTTGGTTCCACAGTTTAGCAATTGTGAGTTGAGCTGCTATAAACATTGATGTGCCTGTGTCCCTGTTTTTAAGTCCTTTTGGGTATAGGCTGAGGAGAGGGTCAGCTGGGTCAAATGGTGGTTTCATTCCCAATTTTCCAAGGAATCTCCATACTGCTTTCCATATTGGCTGCACCACTGTGCATTCCACCAGCAGTGTATGAGCGTACCTTTTTCCCCCATATCCTCGCCAACACTTATTGTTGTTTGTATTCATAAGAGCTGCCATTCTGACTGGAGTGAGATGAAATCTTAGAGTGGTTTTGTTTTGCATTTCTTTAACTGCTAGTGATGATGAACATTTTTTCATATATTTGTTGACTGATTGTACATCATCTTCTGAGAAGTGTCTCTTTGGGTCTTTGGCCCATTTGTTGATTGGGTTATTTGTTTTTGTGGTATTTAACTTTTTGAGTTCTTTATATATCCCAGAGATTAGTGCTCTATCTGATGTGTGAAGGGTAAAGATTTGCTCCCAAGATGTAGGCTCTCTATTCACCTCACAGATTGTTTCTTTTGCTGAGAAGAAGTTTTTTAGTCTGAGTCCATTCCATTTATTGATTCTTGATTTTAATTCTTGCACCACAGGAGTCTTATTAAGGAAGTTGGGGTCTAATTCCACATAATGGTGATTAAGGTCTACTTTTTCTTTTGTTAGATGCAGGGTGTCTGGTTGTATTCCTAAATCCTTGATCCATTTTGAGTTGAGTTTTGTGCATGGTGTGAGATAGGGGTTTAATTCCACTTTGTTGCATATGGATTTCGAGTTTTCCCAGCACCATTTGTTGAAGAGGCTATCTTTTCTCCAGTGCATGTTCTTGGCACCTTTGTCTAATATAAGATAATTGTAGTTTTGTGGGTTAGACTCTGTGTCTTCTATTCTGTACCAGTGGTCTACCAGTGTGTTTTGGTGCCAATACCATGCTGTTTTTGTTACTCAATTATTTTACTTCTTAAGGAATATTTGACAATGACATATATACTATGGACAAGTTTAGGAAAACAAAATGTATTCCTATAGTTTTTCAGAATAAATCACCACTAAATATAAATAAGTTATTACAATGAATATCCCATTGCAAAAAGTAGTTACATTGAGAGATTATAATTTAAATAAAATACAAAGTAGCAAAATGTAGATTTGAAAATAAAAGTAATAAATAAATTTCAGAATGAACTTCAAGACACATTCTCTAATTCTCACAGTAATTGCTGAGACAAGTTTTAATCTGAAGAAACTCATCTTCTGGCCAGAAACTTTTATACTACTGAGCCTCTATCTGGAAACTATTTTTATATAACTAGAGCAGACTACCCCTCCATTTTTGTCTTCTTCTTCTTCTTCTTATTAGTTTGTAAATTTTTTAAAAAATCACTTCTCCAATTTTTTAATTTTAACAAAATACTTTCTAAACTCTTCCCCAATATTTATGTTCTGTTCAATGTTATATAAGATTAATTTTATGAATGATATTGATTTTATTACTTTTTTTGAATTCAGGGCCTTGTGCATGCGAGGCAAGCACTCTACCAACTGAGCTATGTCCCCAGCCCATGACTGAATTTTTTTTGAGTCCCTCTATATTTCTGTAAAAATTAGTGATATTTTCTTTCTTATGTCTAGTATGGGCAATCTGTATTTTTTATTTTCCTCATTATTCTCACTACATGTTTATCAATTTCATTGATTCTCACAAATATTTAGCTTTTTACTCAATTTTCTCTATTGTTTTTTATTTCATTGATTTTTTTCCTATTTATTATTTCAATTTTGAGGGCTTACTTTGAATTAAATTTTCTCTTTTTCTTCTAGGTTTTTTTTTTTTTTTTCCTTGTGGTAGAAACTGAGGTCACTAATTAGAAAACTTTCTGGTTTTCTAATATATGCATTGAATTCTACAGTGGCATCCCACAGACTTCAACAATTTTTTTTTTTTTCAGTTCAAAATACTTTCTAATTTCCCTTGAGTTTTCTCCTTTGACTTGTAGGTTATTTCGAAGTATGTTGTTTCACTTTCATGTACTTATAGATTTTTCCCATATCTTTTAATAATTAATTTCTAATTTAATCTTATCAAGAAAATAATATTTGCTATAATTTAATATTTGATTTTATGGCATTAAATATGGCCCATTTTAGTGAAGGTTTCTATCTTAGTCTGTTAATAATTAGCCCTTCCATCCTTTTTTTTTTTTAAAAATTTGTGCTAACATTAATTTTTCTTCCTTTCTTTCTAACACCTGTGTCTTTAAAAATGGATTTTTTATAGAGTATATAGTTCGTATGTAGTCTTGCTTTTTCTTATGCAATCTAGACAATATCTATCTTTTAATTGGGGTATTTAAACCATTAATATGAAAACTGATATAGCTGGGCTTTAATCAACCATCTTACAATTTGTTCACTGTTTTTCTCATCTATTTTTTTTAAATATTTTCCCTCTTCTTTTGCCTTACTTTGAATATTTTTAAAATTTCATTTCTCTTCAGCTTAGCTTTTGAGTTGCTAGTATTGCTGCTTTTGTTATTTCCTTTAGGATTAAAAATGGATATGTTTAACTTGCCTTGGTCAACCATTATACAATATTATACCATGTCAAATACAGTATAATAATCTTACAACAGTATTGTCTTTTGACGTTCACACTATTGTCCATGTTTTAATTCTACATATGTCATAAACTCTTATCATGCATTAGCATGTGTGTGTGTGTGTGTGTGTGTGTTACTGAGGACTGAATACAAGAGTGTTCTACCAGTGAGCTTCATTCCCAACCCTTTTTATTTTTACTTTGAGAAAGGGTCTAAATTGCTGAGGTTTTTCTGGAACCTGTAATCCTCTTGTGTCAGTCTCCTGCATCACTGGCATAACAGGCATATACCACTATGCCCAGCTATACTGCATTGTAATTATATTTAATTTGAATAATAATGACTTCTTATAGAGATTTTAAAACATAAGAAAACTTTTATTTTACCCACATATTCCTTTCCAATGGATTTTTTCAAAACCTTACACTTATGCACTAATCAATAATAAAATGAAGATTAGGTATGGCAAGCCTTCTGCCACCTTCTAAAACTCTCTAGACATCTCTTTGCTGTCTGGTACCTTGCTAATTTCCTTTGTCTACAGAATCCTGTCCTATATACTACCTGCTGTGACACTACTGAAAACTATGGTTGCACGTACAGTGTCCAGTTTCTTTGCTTAAGATAAAAAGGTAAATCTAATTCCCGTGGCTCAATAATAGATTAAGACAAGATTACTATTTAAATTTATAAAAACCAAAACCAAAAAAGTCAGTTTTAAAAATATGTTTTCAGAGAATAAAATTATGGCATTTTCAGGTAAGTGGATGGAGCTGGAGAATATCATGCTAAGCGAAATAAGCCAATCCCCAAAACTAGGGACCATATGTTTTCTCTGATAAATGGATGCTAATCCATAATGGCATTAGGAAGCATGAGATGGGTGGAGAACTTTGGATGGGGCCAAGGGAAGGGGAGGGCATGGGGTAGGAATTATGATGGAATGTGATGGACATCATTACCCTAGGTACATATATGATTGCACAAATGGTGTGACTCTACTTCATGTGCAACCAGAGGAGTGGAAAATTCTGCTCCATTTGTGTACAATAAATCACAAAGCTTTCTGCTATCATGTATAATTGATTAGAACTAATAAAAAATAAATAAGTTTTAAAAAATATGCTTTCAATTCTACAAGAAACTTTTAGAGAAATAATAAAAACTTTATTCAAAAAAATTTTTTTAATTTGAAGATCTTGATTCATGAGAAATATGAACAGTATGATGTTATGACTAAAAAGGAAATTACTTTTGGTCAGATATATTATGCTTAATATGCAAGCATTTACAAAGTATTCAAAGTATTGCTGTAATTACCCAATTCAGTCTGTCCTTGAGTAACAATGTTTCAGTATGAAAGCGTAACTCACATTTTATCTTAAAGAGATAAAACCACTTACACATTTCCTATCAATAGCTTTATTCACGGAATGGAAAACCATAAATATCCCAGTATCCAAATCATGATGCCAGCTACTGTTTGACACCAAAACACACACACACACACACAATCAAAAAACAAAAAACTCTGCCATAATTCCATGGCAAAATATCTTACTTTGCTAGGCATAATGGTGCATGCCTGTAATCCCAGCAACTTGGGAGGCTGAGACAGGAGCATCACAAGTTCAAAGCCAGCCTTAGCAATGGCAAAGCACTAAGCAACTCAATGAGAACCTGTCTCTCAATTAAAAAAAAAAAAAAAAAAATAGGACTGGGGATATGATTTAGTGGTTGAGTGCCCTGAGTTCAATCCCCAGTACCAAAAAAAAGAAAAGAAAAAAAAAGAAAGAAAGAAAAGAAAAAAAATCTTATTTTAAGTTTGGTTGAGGATAAAAAAGATCAGTAAAAATCTTTTTAAAATTAGATAGCAAGGAAGCTATCCAAGAATATAGGATTATTACCAAGACCCAGGGGAATATATGGTTATCACCAAGACACAGGTTCACTGGCACAATTTGAAAAGCAATATAAATAATAACTTTAATGGACTAACATACATTATATGGCTCAATCATTAAGCACACAGTGAAAATGAAATAAAATTAAACTGCTTTATCACTGAGATTCCTAGAAAATAATCTCTTTGGAGCAAATACAGGTTGATTATTTGAAATGACTGAAACAGAAGTGTTTCAGATTTCAAAGTTTTTTTGATTATGGAATATTTGCATAGATTTCACCTACTAAATATCCTTAATCCCAACCCCCCAAATACTCAATATTTTGAATGGTGCTCAAAAAGCATTTTGGAATAATTCAGATTTTGGACTTTCAGATTAGGAATGCTTAACATGTACCAAAATAAAGATTATGAATTCAGCATTTATTCTACTTCTGCTATATAAACAGTATTATTATAGAACCAACCAGCATAAGAGGAAGTTTCTCTTTTACTATAGAGAAGAAATGCATTTGCAACCACTTATGCATTAGAAGATCTAGGTCTTTAGCACCACAGACTGCCAATATCACTAACAGATGGGGATCCAACTGATGGAAGAGTATCAGCATCATCTATGAAACAGTCTTGCTAAAAATGAAAAATGAACCTGAATTTGATCAAGCCTCATAAGCCATCCAATTTATAGGTAATTTGAGGGGAAGAAAAAAATGTCTTAAAAAAAAAAGGATGTTGGGGCTGGGGTTGGGGCTCAGTGGCAGAGCGGTTGCCTGTCACACGTGAGACAGGCACTGGGTTCAATGCTAAGCACCACATAAAAACAAATAAACAAAATAAAGATATTTTTTTAAAAGATGTTAAAGACAATGAGGATGCAAACAGAAAAATAGAATATCTGGGAGACTAAATTGTCAAAAAATAAGTGACCAAAAGGAGGAGCCACATAAGGAAAGAAGGTGAGGAGTGAGTAAAAAGGCCTATAGATTAAAAAAGACTTAATTTAAAAGGCTTATAATTCAATCACAATCTTTATACTGTTTTTTATCCTTCAGTTTTTGAGCATCTATTATTTGCCTTATTTGGACTATAAAGCAAGCAAACTATATAACACTTATCGATACAAAAGAAAAATTAGAACATATTTATGAATTTACTTTTAAATATACATAAACTCTCAGGAAGAATACATGAGAAATTGATAGCATGGTACCTACCTGTAAGGGAATTAGGTCACCAAATATGAGGAGTGGACAATTTTGTATCTTTTTAATTATTTGAATAAATTAATAATGGGAGAACAACCTACATTTTAGTGCAATTACATGGGTTATCTAAACTAAAAGCAACAAGTTCTTAGAGAAGGTGTTTTGAATTAGAGAAATGAAAACAGCTTTTATTAGCAAAAGTAATGTTGTTACCTCATCATATGTGTATCTATAGTCAGCTTTCTTTGATTTGAGGTCCCATAAGACTACTGTTCCAGATTCAAAGCCAATCAAAAGCTATAATAAAAGAAAAAGCCACTTTATCTAGGGATGATTTTCTATTATATAAAATGTTTATTATATTCTATTATATAAAACGTAACTATTATCATTCATATCTTTCAAGTATAAATTATAATATAACTAAATGCTGTCATTGCCAGTTACTAATCATATAGATGGCAAATAAGAACACTGAATTGCATATTTATATGCCTTTGATAAGGGACTCAACATACATTTTGAAAAAGAAAAAAGTACATCCTATGCACACATCTTCACTAATAAATTCTAATAAATTACTAATAAAAATTAACATTTGTATGTGCTTTAGAAATAATAAACTTTTCAAATTCTGCACTTTCTCAGGCAATCTCACTAAATCAATATATTGATTAGTTCTAAATCATAAACAGCCTAGAAACTCTTCATGAGACTTAGGTACATCTTTCCAATGATGATATCATTGCTTATCTTTATTAGAACCTCTAAGTAAACATATTCAACATGAATTAATTACATCCTTCTCTTCTCAGTTTCTCTGGCATTCACTGTTGTCAGGTCTCTTTCACTATTCCTTATCACCACATTTATTCAGATGTTCCAGCCAGAAACACAAGGATCATCTTTAACTCTAGTTCCTCCCTCAACATGTAATAAAAAAACAAGTAAATTTAAGATTACATTCTCTTATCTTTCTAAATTATGTCCTTCCATCCCCAGTATCTTCATCGTGGTTCAAGATATACAGATATCCTTTCTGTTCTCCTCGACTCTATTTTAACCCATTCCATATTGGAGCTAGAGTACAGTTAAAAAATGCAAATCAACAGGGTTATGTATGCTTCCACTTAAAGCTTTTTAATGGCCTTATTATTATTTTTAAGGTAAAGTTCAAATTCTATAACACAACGTACTGTAATGGCATATCTATTTCTTACCTTTTCAGCTTCATCCTTTACCACACTTAAAAATTAAATAACATTTCAAAAAATCTCAAATTATACAAAACTTAAAGAACATTTCAAAAAGCCTCTCCCTTAGTAACTGGAATTATAAAGAAAATTTAAGGGAAATGAGATATAGAGATAACTCTAACATAAGGCAATAAATGAAAAGCACTATAAAAACTACATAACTAAAATGTTAAAAGGAACCCCAGACCAAACTTTTTGTCCAATTTATCAGAAAATCAGGGAAAATATTTTGATTAAGCCAAATACAAATTAATAATTTAAATTTATTAAATTACTGAAATCATTGAAAGTATTTAAATTACGCTTATTATTTGCAATTAATAATTAAATTTTACTTATGCTTTAGTGTATCTTTGCTTTTTCAAATTACAAATAACTCTGATTCTTTTACTTGTATTACTTGAAAAACAAACCGTTAAGTGCATACAATATACAATCTTTATTAGCAATCTCAACTTTTCAGCATGTGGTCCTAGAATAGTTTGCATGTTTAAAAACACAAAAATCATGCATTTAAATAAAATAAAAATTTTAAGATAAGATTCTACCTTTCCCTCATCCATTGGATTATCACTTATATGGACAACAGGCCCTGGGTGAGATTTAGATGATCTAAGAAAAAAAAAGAAAAGTTAAGATAGATATGTTTCTCAATTAAAAAATTTCAAAACGGATACATATTCATTACAAGAATAAATAAATAAATAATTACTTATAAAGGAAGAAGGCATTTCAGAAAGTATTCAATAACAGCTATATAGTTCTTAATAAGAATCACATTAGGAACCAGGGCAAATACACTACAAGTTACATTCAAGTTGATACATGTCAACTAAATTTACAATTAAATACACTTTTTATGTAGAAAAGAATTTTCAATTTAGTCAAAGATTTCAGCAAAGTAAACCTATTTTCCTTATAGAAACTGTAAAGTTAATATTTTTAAACAGTACAGCATTTAAAACATTAATATTTTATTTTACTAGTACTCTCCAATTTGGGCATCTTGCCAAGTTCCAAAATTCTTACCAGAACAGGAAAAATCCTATTACATTTTTAAAAATTGACAAAGTAATGTCACCTATACTTCTATCAGAGAAAAAGAAGTCATCTAGATAAGAATATGCCTGAAATGCTGATACATTAGGAAAAAGTATACCCCTTGTTCATAAATTCTATAGGCTAAGAAACCACTCCACTTTATGAAAGTCTATGAAATTGTAGACGCCCAAACAAGGTCTACCCACTAGATGTCATGATCAAGTCAAAAAACAGACTCAAAAACCCACCTTACCAAGAAACTGATATATGCTAATGACATTCCTGCCATAGGAGGGAAAGCCAGTCTTAATACACTATTATAGCTACCCAGACACATTTAGAGACATGTCACAAAATTATCCTTGTATCAAAAAGACAAATATTGTAGGATGCAAAACAAGAGTATTTGTTTAAAAATAAAAGGAAACACTGAAAAAACATCTTGTTAATATCTTTAAACATTTATTTGCCTATCCAAACAACACAAAAAAAAATGTGTAGAAAGATAAGACACAAAAAAAATCTGTAAGAGTGAAAAGTTAGCATGAAAGATCCTTAGGGACAAGTTTTTGTTAATATTGGTAAATTAAAAAAAATCATCACTGAATCAAAATTAAGTATAATTAATCTCATAATTAACTGTAATACATTCACTTCAGCAAATATCTGCATTATACTTATTGATTATTAACTCATATCAAAGAAGTACTGTAGATCAAGATCATCTAAATTCTGTGAGCCTATCTGTGAATCATGACAAACATTTAAAAGAAAAATTAAAAAGATTAAAGAATTTTAAAAAATCGTGTTCTTTAACTTATTAATAACTAAGATAATCTCAATAAACTTGTTTTGCAGTTTATACATATTTGAATATATGTACATGTAATGGTGTATATTAATCTATTTAAACATATAAAGCATTTAAATTTATAAACTGCCATGCCAAAAGGATAATATTTACAAAAGACTAACAAATCCTAATTAGATATCAAGACATCTGACACATACTTAGTTTCATATGGATTTACTGATTGGCTATTTTAAAATGATATTATCGAATAGGATACTGATACTTTATATATTGAACATTTGCTCAAACTCACAGTTCAATGGCTTTATTCCACATAATGACGTAGCCTGAGAGTGTGAAGGACTCCACATTGACAATATGTATATTACCTCGTTCAGTACCCACATAGAGCCACTTACTCTGGAAAGGCAGATGGCAAAATGTAACCCTGCAAGAGAAAATATATGTAAAAGGAAATAAGAAAAATGCCTGCCAAGTTTTACTGACTGCATTAACGAGTTAATTATGATGTAGCGATTCAAGAGAAGCAAAAATGATATACAACCATTAGACGTATCTACTCATTGTGATTAATACTTAATAATGTTAAATCAACTTACACAAGGTCATATACTAAACAGATAGCATGGAATGTTTGAAAAAAAGAGGAGTTTTGAAGTTAGCATGTCTCAAATCTGGCTACATCACTCATTGTGTAACCTTTAACCTATAAGCTTTAATTCCAATACCTCTGGTGAAAATAAACAATGATGATAATACGCAATAATATACAATGATAATAATCACTGTTAGACCATGAATAGTAATAATATGAATTAGATAAGATAAACTATGAAGAACATATATATGATCGGAATTCTACTGAATTTATAGATTGATTTGGGTAGAAGTGATATTTAAAGCTTTTTTATTCCTTCCTATGAAGTTCTACATTTGTTTAGAATTTCTTTCATCCTTCAGTGAAACTAATATTTTCTCCATACCAACCTTACATATATTTTTTTCATGATCTGCATTTTACCCTCTATTTCTTTCCATTTCCCTTTGTGTAATTATGCTTTTAAGTTTATATAGTACAATTTAAGGTTACATTCTGCTGAGTTGTTTTTAAGTCCAATCTGAAAATCTCAAAATTTTAGTAGACAAATTTGGCATATTAACAATGATCTTGACTACTGATATCATTGACCTTATTTCTTCCATCTTTTTATTCTCATCATTTATGTTTTGATGACCATTACTGATTCATTTTCTTCATTCTTTTTTCCCCTCCTCTGTTGGTTCTAATGTTTTATATTTTCTGTTCTTTTAATGGTTATTCTTAAACTTTTAAAACACAGGTTTAACTGGATAGTTAGTCTAACATCTGAAACAATAATGGGGGACAGGAAGTATTAGGTAAGTGGTCTATTTTCAGAGTTTTATCAAAGGTGGCAAAGTTGTCAGTGAACAAAGACATAACAGTAGTTCCATAAGATTATTGCCTAGTGCCATCTTCATTTAAATACACTTTATGATGTTCATATTAGAATGAAATTAACAAAACATTTGACATGACATATTCTTATCATTAAGCAACGCATGACTGCATGTGTTGCAGTGATTTTTAGATACCAAATTTGTATTACTTTTTTACTGCTCTATAATAAATTACCACAAAATTAGTGGTTTAAAACAACACCCGTATATTATTCCACAGTTGTTGTTAGTCAGATGTCCAGACACTGCATGCCTAGGGTTCTCTGCTCAGGGACTTACAAGGCTGAAATCCAAGTACAGCCAAGTTGTATTCCTGTATCCCTCTGTGGAAGTGCTGAGAAAGAATGAATCTACTCCTAAATTCATTCTGGTTGCTAGTAAAATCCAGCTTCTTACTTATAGGACTGAAACTTCATCTTCTTGCTGCCAGGGAGTACATTCTCACCTCCTAGAGGTTATTTTGTATTCCTTACTATGTGATCCTCTCTATCTTCAAGGCCAGCAAGAAAATATCTAGCACCCAATGAATCCTTCTTACCCTCTGAAACTTTTACTGGGAAGAATCCAGGACGTTTTGAAGGATTACATGATTAAATCAGGCTTACTAATTTTGGAACTTATCAGCAAAATGCTTTTTCACCCAGCTGAATGAGTGTTTAAATTATGAGGAATAGGTATGTGTATGCCAGAGACAGATACCTTGGGACTCATCTTAGAATTCTGCCTGGGTATATGTGTAAGAGTAGAATTATTGGGTCATGGATATGTGAATACTGCCAAAAAATTTTCCAGAGTGATTTTAATACTTAAATTTCTCACCGGCAGGTTATGAGAAATTCATTGGCATTACACAATCTAGCCAATATTTTAGTCACTTCTGATGTGTAGTTGTGGTTTTAGTTGGTATCTTCCTGAAGACTGAATTTTGGGTAAAAAAGGAAACTGAAAAAAGAACATTGATTATTTTTTTAATTGTATGTTTTACAATAAACCTCTAAAATAGCATTCATTCATATTGTGTATGTCTGGGACTCTGATTTAATGTAAACTATTCAAGCCATTTATCATTTTTCTTATCCCAAACTTAGCATAATCCCTAGTATACAGGAGGTATCTAACATTTGGTGAACTAAACTTAATTTAGCTTCCAATACATAATGTTTTTTTTTAAATTTTCAAATTTGAAACTCTACTTCCATTTATATTTCTTCTAAGCCAGACAATAATGGTACAGGAGTCAGTCCTTTCAGCAATCTAAGTTACAATTTGACTGGGCTAATAATGCATTAGTACAGGTAGAAGAATTGCATGTGCTGTAACACTACCTATTATTAATCTACTTCACTTTTTTGTCCCAAACATAAGAAAGTATTTTCACTTATTCATTCTTTTATTTATTTTTTAATAGGACTCAGTTTATTCTATTCATGAATAGAATTAAATTGTTATTATATTCACCTTTGGTTATATATCTCCTTTTCCATATAATTTTTTTATACTGTTAATACATTTTAAGGAGCTTGTGCAACTAGATCAGTCCCTGGCCCTTCTCTTTGTCTGAATTTCTTAGTTATCATAGATAATTATTCTAGGGAGGTATAGCTTTCCTTTTACAGTTTCAGGGTCATCAAATTGTAACTGTCTTTCCTCTGAATATTAAACAAAAGGGTTTTTTTTTTCCTCCTTTTTACATTTTGTCTGAATAAATGGTTCTTTATATGCACAATTCTTTAAATGATTCAACATTTCCATATCAATAACTAATTCTCTTTCTGGATTAGAATCAGACCAAATATAGTAAACCCTCTGTCTTCCTAACAGCCCTCGGTATCACTCCATGCCTATGTTCTAGTCTTTAATTTTGATCCATCAAAATCACTCTCACTTCTAATGCTTGTAAACTTTCCATTAAACTGCTTTCAAAGAAAATTATTTTGACAATATGATATAATTACCACAGAAATTGTAATTCTAGGTCTTTAATTTGTTCCAATACTGTGATTAGTTTTCTGCTTGCTTTTCTGTGTGCAGTGAATTAAATCAAAATCTTCTTAAGACCTTTATAGGTTTTGTTTTGTTTTGTTTTTTAGGATTGGTATTTGGCCAACTTCTCTTTTATAGCTATCTTAGTTTTGCCCTGTTCATGAATATACTGAGTAAATTACAAGCTTTATAAATATACAAAATACAGTATTTATACAATATTATAATAAAATAATGATCAATGAGTTTTCTTTCTACATTGATTTATTTATGCTACTAAGAAAAATCTGATGCAAAGCAGTTCAGCCAGTTCCTAAAGTAACTTATAAAACTAATTATCCCACTGTTGTTTGGTATCTGAATGGATTATTCCATTTGTCAAATGGCTATATTTTCTTAAAAGAACTCTGAGCCTGGTGTGGTGGTACACACTTGTAATTCCAGCAGGTCAGGAGGCAAAGGCAGGAGGAACACAAGTTCAAATACTCAGCAACTTTGGCATGCCCTAAGCTGTGAAACCCTGTATCAAAATGAAAAATTTTAAAAAGACTGGGGATGTGGCTCAGTTGCTAAGCACCCCTGGGTTCAATCTCTGGTACCAAAACAAACAAAAAAGACTTTGAACATGAATGCTTCACTGATATTTCAATTATAAGAAAATCCTGATTATTAATATACTTAATGTAATATTGCATTTTCCTTTCTTTAGAATATATGCATGTTTATTTATTCTCTAAACTTAAAATATATTATCTGTCATCAAATGAAAGAGTCATATATAAACTGTAAATCAGAGTATTATTAACAAAAAGCCTTTAGAAATGTATAAAACTTAGCTGTTTGGGTGTTTAATAAACTTACAGGGAAAAATCATTCTATAAAATATTAATAGGAAAGTTTTTATGACCACAGAGAATAAATTTTATGTGAAAGGATAGTATCAACAATAAAGAACTATATAATAAAGAGATGTAAGTATAAAACAATAACAAGTACTAAATAGGAAAGTCTACATGTATAACCTAGTCCTCAATCTTAAAATGCTTTATATTGATATTTTAAAACTTGTGCAAAAATTTAACAAGGTTAAGAATATTGGTCATACTAACTTATAGTGATGAAAAAAGACCGGCAGAGAGTTGTAATATCAATCCATGTCTTCTTCCTAATTAAATGTCCTTTAAAGGGGGAAAAAAAATACAAGCCAAATGGAACATATTCTGATTCTGCAACTACCAGAAGTAACTTTACTTATCAAATTCCCAGTTTCAACCAAAATTATATATACATATAAACCCAACAAGGCATAATAATGAGGTAGACCAAGATCAAGCAGGGAGAAGAGGATATATTAGTTTTCTAGAGTTGCCTAAAACTAATTACCGGAAATGGGGTAAAAAAAAAAAAAAAACAGAAATTCATTCTCCCACAGTTCTAGAAGCTAGATGTCCAAAGACAGGGTGTCAGCAGAGCCACGATCTACCTGAAGGCTCTAGGGGAGAATCTGTTACATGCCTGTTTACTAGCTTCTGAAATTGCCAACTATCCCTGTCCTCACTTGGTTTATAAATTCATTACTCCAGTCTTTTACCTCTGAGGTTATAGGATGTTCTCTCTGTGTATACAGCTTATGGTATGTGTCTTCATCTCTTGTTAAAAGGGAACAGTCAGATTAGTGCCCACCCTAATAACCTTTTATTAATGTGATTACATCTGAAAAGATCTTAAATTCCAAACAAAGTAGAGTTCACAAGTACCAGGGGTTAAGACTTCAACATATCTTTTTGGGAGCAGAATTTGATCCATAGCAGGGGATGGGGCAAAAAAGGCCAGATCTCCAAAGTTCTCCACTAAGACATCCTTTTCAGACAATGAGGATTTAGATGCTACAGATATTGGCAAATTAAGTTCATTTAGTAAAAATTATATGACTAGTGGATCCTTAATAGGAACTGAGCCTGGCAA